AACACACCCCTTTCAACTAATTGCCCAATTGCACAGCCTTAAGAGTGTGCATATCATGAATGCTGGGTCTTGTTTGCTTTCTGAGAATCTACTGCACCTACTGGTAACTTGTTTGCCATGTAGCAATAAAAAATATACTAAAAACCTGAATTATTCTGGTTAGTCACATTGTACTGCTATTATTTTGAACAATACTGTACATAGTTTGAAGCAGTCAGTGAAAGGCTGCAGCGAAACTTTTCTGTTTCACGTTTTCTCTGTTACATTTTAGGCAGGTTTGTATAGAAGAGTTTTTAAATGTAAAGTTTTTCTGTGCTATCCATTTAATGATTCAGAATATTATTGGATTTTGATACGCGAGTTGCGTACAGTATTGTAAACCATGTTAGTTTGTGGGGAGCACTTGCTGGTCTCTGACACAAGAGTACAACGCTGAAAACGGACCAACGGTTGGATAAAGATGTCATTGACTAGTCAACCTGTATTTTAGGACTACTTTATTTCACATGCATGTGTGTAAAACCAATATCTATACAAAAAGATCATAGACACATTTAGACCAATGTACATTATGTCATAGTTTTATAGGCAATCTGCATGTCATGACAACTCAGTTTATACATGATGAATATACAAGTCCTGTAGGTGTTAGGTACCAAACCATATCTGTCTTAACTGTCCTTGTTGTGGCTTTATTCAGCACAGGATAACATTTTATCTTTACTCGGGTGTGTTATATCTATGAACACTTACAAATCTGAATATTTAGATTATTTCATACAGAGCTCAACTCAGTGTTTGTAGTTTCTTTTTTCATTCTATCAGATGATGATATTTTGATACAGGTCCATGTTGTTAATATACCCTACATGAAATTGTGCTCACTTTGCCTCATAACAAGTACAAAAAAAGTTAAGTACTATATATCAAAAGGTTGGTCTTAACACATAATTGAGATGAGATGGTGAAATGGGCATTTTTTTATGTTCAGTGTTGCTTCATAACCAGTTTGAAGAGACATTTTGTGCCCAACTGCATGAAGATTCAGATCTTACATTCTTTGGACTAGTAGAAGCCACCAGCGTCTTTCTCATACTGAGCTGTAAGAGTCTGTGAGTGGGAAGTAGAAATGTTTGCTGTCGAATCTTTCACCTGTACTGCCAGTGTTTTACAGCATCTTATGTGGAGAAATCCTGCACTTTGCAAAATGTCACATACTGATGGTGTTGGTAACCGATTGCTAAGGTTGGTCGAGGTGTGCGGTGCAGTGGTCTAAGGAAATGTGAATCTAATTCAGTCTCTGCAGGAGTGAGATGGGTGTTCTGCTTGACTGAACCTGATGTAGTCACTTGCTACCAATTGCACAGACAAAAACAATTGTATTTTCCAGTGTGTTTAATGTTTCAAGTTTTCTCTGCCCACCTTAAGGAGGTTGTTTTCTGTCCTGATTGTCTGTTACTTGGAAGAATACTTCAAAAACTGTTTCAAAACATGACAAAATGCCTTTTGTGTTATTTCTTTAGTAATTAATTAATTAAAGGATGATTTACAAGTGGCAGAAAACTGCTGCTTCCATGTACTCACAGGTTGCAAAGATGGCCACATCCCCATTAAGTGATGTCAATTAGTTACTTTTCTGATGATTATACCTTAAGAGAAAACATTGACATTGATGTTGTTCAGGGGGAAAAATTAAACTCAGTTTATATATGGTGTGTAAAGAGTGAAAATTATGAACCTATGCGATTTGCAGTCAGACTCAGCAGGGGGCGCCAGAGTACATGTTTCTGCTCCTCGGGTCTGAGGAGGGAAAGTAAACAGACTCGGGAGTTATTTTCCTTTTTCCTCTGAGTCTGTGACGAGGATGGAGCTGGAAATCTAAGCAGGGCAACTGGAGCCTGCAGAGTTCCAGCCAAACTCCGAGCCTGACCTCCTTTCACACTGAGCCCTTCACCAAACCAGCGTGATCTCTTCAGCTTTGCACAGCAGTCGCCCCTCTCACCATGAAGCTCTGGGTTGTGCTCAGCCTGGCATTGCTCTGGGTAGAGTTCCATAGTGGTGAGTACATCTCTGCATCTCTCACGGATTTATTAATGGAGGGGAAAATACTGTTAATTTCATCATGAGAGCATGGAGTGTAAACTGGAAGTAGTGGGAGGATCACAGTAGATATATCTACTGAGGTTGTACCAATACTGTGAGGGCTAGAATGGGAAGTTCATTCACAAATGACAAACGCTTTGTTCATCAGTCATTTTGTCTGTCCTCAGGCTTCACTGTCACAAATCTTCAACATTTGAATCTGAGCTTTTAAGTTGTAAATGTCTGCCGAAGAAAGTGGTGTGAGGTTTTTGCAAAGTGTATCTGCAAACCAACTAAAACCAGCTGGGACATGCAACAGGCGTTTCTAATTAACTCTCATTAATGCTGCACTGAAGGATAGGACGGCAGAACTGAAGGTCTACACTGCAGAATAATGAGTTTTCCTCTTGGTTTGTGTTCTGTGTCCACTGAGAAAAGGAGAGCGGTCTGCTGAAGGAGGTTCTGGACCAGTAACAAAGATTCTCCACTTCCTGTTCAACTGCTGTCACAGCTGGAGGAAACGCACTAAGAATCTAGCCTGACCCTCTGCTGTTTCTGCCAGTAACAGAACACTTGGTGAAATATCAGTTAACCCAATTATTTTTCTTCCCTGTCTTCTCGTTGTGCGTCTGCGCGCCCAGGTGCCTGCCAACAGCTAAAGCGTAAAAAAGATGTCACCAGACCAGCGGGGAAACGGGTAAACATACGAGGCCCCAAAGTGAAGGATGGTGGAGGGAAACGCCAGTCCCCACTGATCCGGGTCTTAGAAAAGGGTCGCTTTCTTCACCTGGGCCCGAGCACAGTTCTCTCTCCTGGGATGGACTTGGAGCTGCGCTGCAAAGGCAGCAACATCGGATGGTCGTACCCGACCTACCTGGACACCTACAACGACTCACGCCTCAGGTGCTGCCAGGAGCCACAAGCTGTCACGTTACACTCTGATGTGATTGTGACGTCTTATATTTTTGTTTTCCTGTCTCAAGCATCAGGCAGAGTGACAAGTTCAGTCAGCTGATCCTGACGTCACCCTCTGCTGCTGACACGGGGTCCTACAGCTGCTGGGTGATCGTGTGTGATGGCACGGAGTGCACGAAGGACCATGAGCGCTTATACGCCTCCTACGTTTATTTCACAGGTGAATAGGACACCAACAGCAGCACAGTGCACGTTCTGCTGTCGGTGTTTCACTTTTATATTTTTAGGTCCCACAATGCTCACAAAACCGTAAACCCTGTTTTGGTACCAAATTGGAAATTGTAACTACATTGGATTCAATCAGCATTTCAGCTTTCAAGACCATATTAGTTCAAAGCAAGTTGTGGTGTAAACATTTCATGGCACTGAGATTGAGATGATCAAGAAGCAGGAAACTGTGGAGAATATTTGTCATTAACATGAAAAACTGTAAAGATAGAGCATGCAGTCAAACTAATCAGTAGCTTTCATCTTAATCAAAGTATGACTGCCTTCAGTCAGTCCAGTCCAGGGTTTCAGGTCAGAATTTGTGTCCAAATTCTTCTTACTGCTGCGTCAGTGGCCTTTCCACAGGAAAGAGCACAAAACCTCTGATCAGCCTGCTGACAGGTTGATCTGTCTTTATTTTGGTGTCTTGTGTGAACATTGCACCAGTGTAATAGAGGGGGAAAACCACCTGTGGATCCTATTTTCAGTTTAAAAACTGTTACACAGCTCACATCTTTTCCTCTGACCAGACAAAGGCAACCTCTTCGTGCCCTCTGCCATCCACTTTGAGATCGTGTACCTGCGCCCAGACAGACCTGCAGTGGTGCCCTGTCGTGTGACCGACCCACAGGCCGAGGTGTCCCTGCACAGAGAGGTCCCTCCAGAGGAGCTCACGGCCAACACCACCCTGCTGACCTATGACCCCACCAAGGGGTTTGTCCTGCAGAAACCCAGCCCAGACCATCAGGGGGTTTTCTACTGCAAGGCTGCGACAAAGGGTACCCCTCAGATCTCCACGAAGTACCAGCTGCTCTATGTGGAAGGTAGGTATGCAGCAAACACAACACGCGTACATAAACTGGGTAAAATGAAATCGACACAACATATGGTGGTACTGCTTTCCTGTGCCTTTAACGGTCAAACACAACCATACAGGTTTGTCACCTTAATGAACAAAAGTGCCAAGAACCACAGTTCAGAGGTTGTTTTTTTTTCAAGTCATGGACCAAGAGCAGGTTTCTTTGCTTCGTTGTATTTGAGCTGTCAGAAGCCTCCTCACACTCCTGAGCTTGGTTTATGTGAACAGTAGGCACTTGAAATGGAAACACTGTTGATGCTTCATAAGGAAAGAGGACGAGAGGTGAATTTACAACATGGAAACTCTTGGTCAAATTAAGCTGCCATGGCATGTTTGACTGGCACATGGAGAGAAAGAGACCGATGGTTCACTCTTTAAATATAAGCCTACAGAAATGAACGTGAACTGCTCAGGTGCATTTGAACTGGTAGGCTTTGCAACATAAAAAGGATATAAATGTAGAAAATCACTGTTCGCCTTTCTCCCGATGACAGTTCCTAATGGGCCACCCTTTGTGAGTCTGGAAGCATCTTCGACCTCTGTGAGAGGAGGTGACAATGTGAACGTAACCTGTACAGTGCTGGGGGAGCCAGAGGTGGATGTGAACTTTACCTGGTCTTATCCTGGTCAGGTAAGAGGCTCAAACCTGGTTCAGCCATAAATCTGTGTCAGCTGAGATCAGTGAAATTGTCCCAGCAGAAAATATTTTGTAACAAGGAGTAATTAAGCAAAACTTATACACCATGGACAAAAAAAAAGCAATCTAATGCATGACGCAATAAATGAAGGTATTTAACATACTGTATCTGACAGGGAACCTTTGGCAGTGGTTAATCAATTAATGCAGTAACAAATAAAGCTGTTTATACATTGACCAATAGAATATTATGCTGTTAAAAATAATTAAATTAGGAAAGTGTATCAAAGACTTAATTGATCTTTAAATATAGCAATTAATCCCAGATTAATTTTTAAATAAGGAAGAAATTTTGTATTTGCAAAATATTTTTAAAAGGCATTTCAATTTTATTATTCCTTAGTAATAGTGAGATGTTGTGCAAAAAGTTGCATTTAGGTATTTTGAAGATCTTATTTTTAAATTAAAGACAAATTAAGACACTTGATATTTTATAATCATTTAAATATACATGCAAGAGTTAAAAAAAAAAATCCTCACTGGCTACTTTATACAACTGTACAGGTGTATGTACTTCTGTGCAACACTTCCACCTTAACATCTGTTTATGAAGCTCAAAATGTTATTGGTGAAATTGTTCTTTAGGCTAAAGAACGTCCTTTTATAATACTCTGAGCAAATGTTGTGCAGTCAAACAGTTACAAGAAGGAAAGCTATGTCCGGTATTTTTCCATCAATGTATAAATCAATTATATCAATTATTGAGATCATAGTTAAAGGTAGTGTTGTACTGGACTACATTATATTTAGAGGTGTATTTTTATCCCCAGCTACATACATGAGGGTCAGAATATTAGGGGCACCGCTGAATGTAATGTAGTCCAGTACACCACCACCTTTAACTATGTCAGTAATAAATATATAACTGAATTTATATATTTGACAATTTCATACACTGATGTTAAGGCAGAAGTGTTGCATTGAAGTGTATACACCTGCACATGTGTACCTGAAAGTGGCCAGTGAGTATGTATAATTTTCTTGGTGGCACTCAGCCTCCACGCACCATCCTGTATGCTGTTTAAATGTAACCTCGGTGAATATGCACTGAAGGTTTCAAACGTTCATAGCACTTCTCTGTATGTTGCATATTGGACTGATCGGCTCCAGGCTAACTTGTGACATCACAAAATCATTTTGTATGTACATTGTTTAAGCTGTGAATACAGGAACTTTTTCCCCTTAAACAGGTGGATCTGAATCATTTTGCACAGTGAAGGTCAAACTTTCAACTGAATAATACACATTATTGAACAGAGGGGTCTTTAAACTTGTTTTCCTAAACACTGTCTTCCCTGATTGTCACCAACAATCACATAATGGTACAGCATTAAGTTGTGTTTTTGTTCTACTGTGCAGAACTACCGCCCTGTTCACATCCAGACTTCCTGGAGGCTGGTGAACAGAGGCACGGGCCACACCACACGAGTCTCCCAAAGCGTCTTGACTGTAGAGGACATGGAGACAATCGACTTTGGAAACTACATCTGTAAAGCCAAAAACCTTAACGGCCAGACCATCGTGGCGGTCACCGTCATCTCCAAATAGCCGTGACACCATAACTGTGTTAGTCATTTGGAAGGAGTGTGTTGATAAGTAACACCAAACAGTGAGACTGGATAAAACCAAAATGTATATACATAAAATGGATGTATATTTAGACTGCTGATTGTACTTAAAATAAAGCTTTGCTGTGTACTTGGCTAATGGTTCACTTTGACCTTAAAAGGCTTCAAATGAGAGCAACACTGAAGGGCAGGACCACTCCATGACACTCAGAACAGGATTCATTTTGCAGCCTACACACAACTCAACCAGTCTCCAGAAATCAAAGAGTTATAACTTGTATGGCTTTTCTTCCAGGTTTTCCTCAAATGTATTAAACATTGATGGAAACATTTGACCAGAGAAAAGCCAAAACCGTTTCATCACATGCTTTATGAGATACCCCACAGGAGTCTCAGTCTGCCAGACAGTGAGCAGTCACTTGCTTATGAAATAGATGCTCTTTTTTTATGTTGCATCTGGAGATAAATTTTTGGTATTGGTCAAATATGTTGAGCCTCATTATGATAAGAGGGGACACCAAACCAGTGTTGGATTGAACACCTAGCTAAATGTCAGTTACCCCCAACGCTATGCATTTAAATCAAGTTAAAGAATGATGCAGGGAGAGAGCCACAGCCATCAGACTTGCTCTTGTTTTGAAGCATGTCCTGAGAAGGAGAAACTGGTTTCAAGCTGAACCATGTGCCAGGCTGACATCCTAATGTGCTCCGTATGTGGAATGTGAGCTGCAGGCCAAGAACTTGTTTTGGTCCAATGCAACACACAGTTTCCACTGTGCTGAATGCTGCTTGCTAGGTGATTTGAACTATTTTAGCTTTGGATCTTAATGTTTGTGGTTCAGAAGGACATTCAGCTCAGACAACAGGCCGACGAATGTCAATCCACTGATTCTATGGAAGTAAAACCTGCTGCGGGGGCGTTGTCTTGTTCCATGAAAAACTGTTCCTGTAATATTCTACTTTACAGAAATAGCTTCACCTACAGTGAATACAGCAACTTGTTGAAACTTTGACCTCAACTATTTTAGTACAAGACTTTATTAATTGCATATTTCAAACAGGGTCAACACATCAGAAATAAACTCCACAGAACACTCAGACATTTGCCAGATGCACCATCTCACATTCACAAAAAAAGCGACTTCTGGTTCAACTCTTTGCAAAGACCCCAACTTTAAAGCTACGTTAGGAAGAAGGTTCAGTAAGGGGTGACTGACGAGACTCCAAGATGAACAAAGGTTCAGATCGGTCCCTTGGTCAAACAAACTAACAAATGTGAAAACCAAAATGCTTGAGGCCACAGATGACAGTATATAATAAAAAAAAAAAAAGTCAACGATGTCGACCTAAACTCTAAAAAAAAAATCCCAAAATTTGAAAAAGAAACTTGTTGTAGGCAGGAGAACAGCCTGCGTATGAGAATGAATGTTTGTCTTAGAGGCCTGTACAGCACTGTAGCCAGTTAACTAGCCACGGGATGCTACTAATATGACTGCCATCACTCCTACAGTTAGCTGGGAGAAAGGGTCCAGGAAGCAAGTCCAATGTTTTGTATGCATTTATAATAAAGATGCATCCTGAGGAGGGACAGTGTCATCTGTATTTGTAGCTATTCATATTTTCAAGGCTTGTGTGCTGAGCTGCAAGACGAGCCTCAGGCAACCACAAGCAAATAAGTGTTTTATTACACAAGTCCTGAGATTTCCTTTCTGTCCCATCCATAGTATCAGATGTGAAAGGTAAAGAACAATGTGGCCTTTAAGTTCTGCTGAGTAGCAATTTTTTTTTTCTTTAACAGTCTGTAGCATCTCAGAGTTCATCCAATCCTTCAGGAGCCAAGGGCAGGCTATTGAGTTGCTAAGCAAACATGAAACAAACATGGCTCCATCTTCCAGACTGATAACTCAAAGCAGCAGTTGTCCTTCCTGGAAGCAGGGGCACATTGTTATCTAGGTGAGGCAGGAGAGCTGGAGAACATGCCGGAGCTGCGAGGTGACTGAAAGCTGAAGGTGTGGGAGTGAGAGGTGGTAAGGGGTGAGGAGGTGAAGGTGTGGGAGGGGGAAAGGGGTGGAAAGGTAAAGGTGCTGGAGTGTGAGGGGGAGGAGGCAGGGGACACCTTGCGAGGGCTACTCAGGTCTCCGTTATGGAGCTTCCACAGCAGCTCCTCGTTCTCCATGGACAAACGCTTGTTCACCTTGGACTCCTTCTGGAGGGACTCCTGCAGCATAGCCTGCTCTGTGGACAGCTGTCTGTAATGCATCAACACAGCATGTTAGAGGTTATCTGGAGCAGAAATACTGACTAGAGGAAAATTAAACTAGTCAGCTGAGGCACTACAGCTACCTGACTTAGTTTGGTGTCACACCACCTTAAGAAAATCAGCCATTCTGAATAAATACAATACATAACTAAATTATAGATGTTGTCTTGAAATACATGAAGGATAAAACTGGAAATATTCAAATCACCCTAATGAACAATACATTAATCTGTCTCTGAATGCTTTCAGGGTTCCTGTTAAATACTTCAAAAATAAAAAAAAAAGCAATATTTCCTAAAACAGCTGGTTATTGTACTTTATAGTAACCAACTCAAACAAAAGTAATAGATTTGATTCTGTTTCAGATGTGGATTAATACAAATTTGGACAAATGAGTATTTATGGTAGCAGACTTATTTGGGATTCAGTCATAATAAGCTGCAGTGTCCATGTTCATCATAATGACAGAACATGTTAACGTACCACACAGGTACAGTGGATGTGTAACGTTTTAGGACAACAATGGAGCTCTAGGCAGAACCAGTGTGAGCGAGCGGATTTTGGACAGAGTGCAGAACAACTTTAAAAAGGAGGGCGCGTCACCCTATGTCACGCTTCAACTTCACTCTGGTACCGCTCACACCATGAGCCAGAAGCACGCACAATCGCGACCCAGAATGCATTTGTCTTGCACAGTCATCCAACACTTTTCAGTCAAAAAACTGGCTGTTGCGATCTCAGTAATGGAGTTCCCAAAGAGCTGCACTGTATATTTATATTTAAGTAGGTCCATTGATTTGTTGAATTTTACATGTTATATTCCTGGTTACACAGGCCTAACGAATTTGAAATCAATTCCATTTTGGAAAAAAACAAACAAACAAAAAAAAACAATGGTTCTTTTGCTTTTTGGGATGCAAGGCTACGGTTTAAGATAAAAGTGAAATACATGCAGATTTGTTCCCCTCTTTGGAGTGAGTGGATACAATCTGAGCAATAATGAGCAGTGACCAGGTGCGAGTTTGAGTTGGGGAGCGGAGTGGGCGAACAGCTCCACGAGCGAGGAGAGGAATGTCTCACCGCTCCACTCTGCTCATTTGCTCTGGCTTTAAGACATAGAGGCTTTGGCTAATCAGTCACATCAAATCATGGTTGACTGTGGTCTTTCCATGGGATTTGTTCACAGTAAGAAAAATAGAAACTTGCCAAACATAACCTTAAAAACAAAAACTTGGTTTTCCACTCCTTTTCTCAGCTGTCAGACTGAAGCTTGGCAACCTTCTCAAACTAAAGTTTACAACACCCATTCTGTGATGGGTTCAGAGAGACTGATCTTAGATCTTAGATGCTTCAAAGTATGGTTTCACTTATTTCATATGAATGAAGGAAACAAAGGAACAGTGGGTAAACCTGTACCTAGACAAAGCAGCATGTCTTTCCATGCGGGCTTTGAGGTCTTCATTCTCCTGCTGGACCTTCTTAAGACTGTCATCCAACTTCACATTCTTCTCTGTCTGCAAGACAAAAAAACAAAACGCATGATCAAGTGATATGCCTGTACCAGTGCTTGTCTTGCTGCCCACCAATCACTTTCATCTACTCTAGGTCTCACCAGTTTGTCTACCTCCATCAGCTTTTTATCCTGCTGGTGGAGCTGTTTGTTTTTGATATCCAGCACCACTTTGAGGCTGTCTAGCTCCTGCTCCAGATACAGGGTGTGGGAGTCCTTCTGCAGGGAAAAATACAGTAAGTGGTGCCAAAATGTTCAGGCAGTGTTAAGGTGTCAAAATCAGCACATAAATACAGCAAGCCTTAAAAATGTCATGTGGCTATAAACCCATTAACACACAATGGGTGCCATGCATCATTTACATAATACTCACTGACCTGGGCTCAAACTGTGGATGTTTAAGCACCATACACAATGACATAAAAATGACAAGCAAATGTGCTCTGCATGAAGGTAGTGTTTGACTGTTCCTCATCTTTTAACTACACAAGGTCAATATGCATCTCTGTGGCAGGGTATTGTGAGCTACTTATCTTGATTACTGTGCCAGAGTAGAAGGCCATGTGCATGTGGCAGCCACTTAATACTGATGAGTAGCGGCAGTGTCACCGTACAACAGCACTCTGGGAAAATTAAAACCTACATTCTTAGGGGGTTGGGGTGGGTGTCGCCAACACAGAGATGTCAGAGTTTAACCCACTCCTGTTCACAATGTTTTTTATATGCATCTTCTTAAAGAATGCCAAGTGTTCAATTGACCTAACAGAAAATGATGGTCAGTTAGAAACTAAGTCTTTCAATAAAACACTGATTTTTTTTCTTTCAGTTTCCCATCTTTTATGCTCAGGGGCAAACACTGGAGTCAAGAGATGTTCAAAAGGGGATCTCTGCTGTAATAAGCACACAGGTAGGTGTACCTGACTCTTTTCAACCAGCTCTTTCCTCTTGTTCTCCTCTGCTTTTAGCTTCTCAATTAGGGCACTGTTCTCCAGAGACAGCTCTTGAATCTGTGCCTGTGAATGCACATAGCACAACAAAGCCACTCAAAGTTATTTTAACACTAGTTTATGAAAATCAATAGTTACTCTCATGTGACTGCATGAAAAGATAAAATGTTATGCTTACAGACAGAGCAGCTTCTGCATCTTTCAAAGTTTTGTCCAAACACTGTAGCTCCTGATTGTGGACCTGCCTGAGCTCTGAAAGGTTTATAGGTATTGTGTGAGATGTGTTTCAGAAATCTCAAACTGAACAAAAGTCATGGTTCATCAATTTCACATTATGATGTAATAAAATGTTTTTATATTGCAGATGCATTAGTTAACCGAGTTAGAATAATCAAAAGTTAAACACTTTCATCGAGTCAGAGAATCAATGTTTCAGCAGCTGGGTTCAGTATCGTTCACTGACCTTCCAGTGATGCTTCATACTGCTGTTTAACACACTGCAGCTCTTCCTCATGGCTGTTCTGCAATTCCAGCTTCATGGCTTCATGATTGGCTTTAAGCTCACTCACCTTCAGAAACAGAACACAAGATATAATTACAACCGCGTCAGGTATTAGGCAGCGACAAAGTGTCAAACAAGCTGACATTTAAAACTAGGAATGTGCACATTCACAAGACTGGGCCACACGGATGTACAGACAACCCCAAAACATAATGCCTCCAGCCATGGCTATCACTGAGGCATTAAAAGTAGCATCTAGACTGCTTTCCAAATAATTTAAACAGTACAAAATCACAATGAAGGGTGGTGTAGAGATGAACCTGCTGTTGCATGAAAGTTTTGCACTTGTCAGCTTCCTGCTGGTAGTTGAGATTGATCTTGTGCCACTCATCCTGGTAGAAGGCCTGCAGCCTCTGTTCCAGCTCAGCCAGGTCCTTCTGGTGCTGCACCTGCAGTTTCTGCAGTACATCCTCCAGAGAAACACGCAACTCCTCCTTCTCCTTCTCCAGGCGCTCAGAGAAATTGACTGAGCAAACTGGGAATAAAGAGTATTTTGTTGTGGTGAAAAGGTGACAGAACATCTGCATAATGTTTAGTGACTGTATGCAGCTATGTTGACTAATATTCATTTAAAAAAAGGATAGAAAGTGTATTAGTAACTGCCTAATCTGATATGTCCACTGAGGAAGCTGTGTTTGGCAAAGTCCTCCCTAATGAACATGTGTGACACTCAATGCTCTCCAAAAAGAAATGGAAAAACTGACTTTCGGTGGAGGCGCCTCTTGCTTTTGACTGCTTATGACAACTAAACTGCTGTTATGTGTGGCCAGATGAATATACAGAAAGGTGACAGATAAAAAAAAAAACCCAAACATACAGTGTTGGGCCACCAGAACGGCTTCAGTGCAGCCTGGCATTGACTCTCCAAGTCTCTGAACTCATAGCATCTGATTCGTGTCATTTTCATGCTCCATTTATTCAGGTTTTTCTGTCACCTGTACATTAACAAGTCTCAGTTCTTTCACAATTTCTTGAAATTTGTAACATAGGTAATGATTTCTTAAGTCTGGCTTTCCTTCCCCCTTTCCACAGCTGGTAACTTGCCATTTTTCAGTTTGTGTAACTGATGACTTTTGCCTTGCAATCCAGGCTCAACATTTCTCAAGTGGTTCCATCACCATGTGTTTACATCTGCTCTGAAGTGGGTGACTGTCTAACCTACAGCATCTCCAGTTTAAGTGGCTGTGTACAAACACTGTTGATACTCTACAGCTGGCAGTGGACTTCAACTCACTAACAAAGCCACTAATAGTTTTATTGTGCACTACGTGCAACAAAAGTCTGCTGTATGCTTAGCAGGTGATTTTCACTCAAAGGTCTGGTCTCAGATACATGGTATGCCAATACATCCACCGCTATTTAGAACAAGAAGCTATATATAACTTCAATAGGAGGATGGAAAAAATACTCAATCCAGATGCTGCTCTGCAAACGTATGTGTGGCAGGTACATTTTTCTGGTTAGATATCATTCTGGATATAAATGAAGTCCCTGAGTCTCAGTTTCTGCACAGCTAAATACTGAACACTGCGCTCTGCATGACAATCCACCTTATGCAGTGTGGGTACAGCTCAAAGGGAGCCCAGCATTCTACATCAATGTTTATCAGAGACCTGGTCATACAAAGATTACTAGGATAAATCCATCCCACAGAAAGGACTCGTGGCTCATACATTATGGGGAAGAAAGATCCAGGTGATCTAAAGTTAGCTGCATTTTTGGTCCACCATCAGCAGGGTGATAGGGTTTGGAAGTGTCACATTAATGCAAATGGTAGAAAGAGCCCCCCCCGTATGTGCAATTTTACATGGGGTGTGTTTTTGTATCACTTTCAGTTGCAGCCCAAGTCTTAAATTTATTGGAGCTTGATCACCAGGGAAGCAGGCAGGGACACACAGAAGGAAATAAACTGTATCTAATTAGAAACTTATAAGAAGGGCTGTGTCCAAACATTGTTTATTACAGGTGTGCATGTGCCTGTAGGTGTGAACCTTTTCAGTGTGACAGCAATGGGGCTTGGACATAAAATATGGTCACTGTCCCTAAGCTTTCATAAGGCCTTCTGTGTGGGGTCAGAGACCAGACTTCCACTCTACTCAGCAACAAACACGTACACCTTGTCAAATATCTGATTATTACAGACATTTCCCCACTGTGGGATCAATAAAGTACCTACTCTTATCAGTGGAGAACAAAGCAAATAACTGGACGAATAACAGGGAATATCTATGTGATGGGTTAAAAACAAACAAGAACAGGGCTTAATAATATTTAACAATTTTGACCGATCAGATCTATCAAATAAGAAAAGTTCACCCATAGCAGCACAAGCCACTTCAAGGTACAGTGCTGATATTCTACTGTGATGAGCATTTTATTAGCATTAATGAAGATCACGTTTTCGATCGATTACATTAAATGACATAACTGTAGTTAAATTCAATGTGGTGTGCCTTAGATTTCAACATGAAACCACAGATGACTAAGATCAATAAATCCATCAGATTGCAGCAAAAAAGTGACTCAAGCAACCAACTAAACAACATGGGAGAGATGCAGTATACTGTTTTCACTATCTATAGAAACATCTGAATGATTCAAAGGTTAAAAACATATTAGAATGATGTACTAAAAGCAAATCCTGCACCAGGTGTGTGTGTGTGTGTATATTGGTGATAACCACTGTGAACACAGCTAATGTGAGAGCTGGTGACAGAACTTACCCAGCTCTCCTTGAAGGTTGACCAGCTCCTGAGAAAGCTCCCTGCACTGCCTTGTTTCTTCATCTCGCTGCAGAGAACAACATAAACAGTCATGCACATGGTCAGGACAACATCAATAAAGATTTTTCTTTGAAGAGGAGGGATCTTCATTTTAGCACAGCACCAAGCTTAAATCATCAGAGGAAATATCACATTATACATTTGAAGAGTTATTCACTATGAGATAGAAGGCTCTGACAGGGTAATACCCTGTTTCAATACTAGGATATTTGATGTTTGACTGGCAAAAGCAAATGCACTTGAGAGCAGGAGGAAATAAAGAAAAAAAAGCATTAGCATGGATAAGGGTCGGAGGGGGGTTAGAAGAAACGTCACATTCACTTCATGCTTTCAGTCCTACCATATGCCTCTGTTTACTTCTCCTTTTCTGACTCAGTCTTGCAGTAAGGAGGAGGCTGCATTGTAGCTGCAGCACTCCTCTAGACTTCAAACAGACACATAGATGAGCCAAATACTGTTTACCTCTCATCCACTACCCTTCTCTTACTAGGCTAATTCATAATCAACAATCTGACACACTACAACACTCAGCCTGCATTATTCAGTTAACACAGGAGAAAATAGCCAAGTAAGATGAGCCAAACATCATGTCACTGATCAGTTTACATTAACAAAAACATTCCACCCTGTCCTTTTTTACCCCAGATCTGCATCTATTCCTCACTGCAGAGAAGAACAGTGTAGAAACAGTTACCCTCTGTGCTGCGCAGGGAGCACTAAGGCACGCTCTGCTGTCAGAACAGCCCATGATCCAGCCTCAGGCTGGGGTGCTGGAGTCCCCCCCCCCCACCAGCTATGGAGACCCAGTACTCCAGGACAAACAGTGGTCCGGGTGGACGCACCACCTCCACACACTTCCACACAGAGTGCTCCGACTACATCTGAGGCAGGACTGTAAAAGCCGCTTCACTGGCTGTGGCGAGTGGCTAGAGTGCATTACCGTATTCCACCTAATAAAACAAAAAGGGGCAGGCTACAGTGTGCATAAGACCAGCCTTCTCACCAGTGAGACGAGGTCACTTAAAACAGCAGTAAAACATAAATTCGACACAGCTGTCTGACATCAGGCTGATGAAGCAGGACTCCTGCTGTGCAGTGACCTTCCCCAGGGGATACATGGAGAGGCTTCATTACCCCCTACCCCACCACTCATCCCAAACCTACATTAAATCATTCCCTGACCCTTCCGAACGACCGTCTGACAATCTCTACTACAGACTCCATGGGTACAATCTGTCCATTACAAAATGATACAATTCTGGGATCCAAATTCTAGCTTCTGTGCCAGCAAGATTAATGACAGTCACACCTATCTATGAAAAGTATACATCACTTGTTTACTTCCAACTGTGTTAGCTGGTAATTATTTTTCAGACAGCCTCTGAAGTAGTCAAAAAAAAAGTTCCTCTTAATTAAAAATAACTGGATAAAAATCTGTCACTGATGCTGAACTGTATAATAAACAGTATCACAAAACTGGGATTTTGTTTGGCTTCCACAATTTGACTGAGCATGATAATGACATGTTCCATCAAATCAACTACTCCCTTTCACAGGTAAACTGATCAGTCTCACACTTGTTTTGAGCATGCATCGTCTCTGACAAACACTTCTGGCTCCAGTCAATAAGAAAATATTCATTTATATCTGGTGAATGAGTCCAGCAAACAAAATATTGGTAGTCTGGAAGTTTCTATTAATGGAAGTGTGTATTGTTAGTACACTAGTAACCTTTGCTCACATCATGAAAAGAATTACCACTATGCAGCCCTGTATGAAAAATTTAATGTATAAAACCATTAGGATTATAAATATACTTGACACTGCAGATGCACAGTGGATTGGGCAGCAGTCGAAGGCAGGGGCCCCGACGACCCGATCTCTGGACACGGAGACTAGCCCTGGGGACATGGAATGTCACCTCGCTGGTGGGGAAGGAGCCCGAGCTTGTGCAGGAGGTTGAGAGGTACCGGCTAGATATAGTCGGGCTCACCTCCACGCACAGCTTGGGCTCTGGAACTTTACTCCTCGAGAGAGGCTGGACTCTCTACTACTCTGGAGTTGCCCGCGGTGAGAGGCGGCAGGCTGGTGTGGGCTAGCTCATAGCTCCCCGGCTTAGCCGCCATGTGTTGGAGTTTACCCCGGTGAATGAGAGGGGCGCTTCCCTGCGCCTTCGGGGCGGGGACAGGTTGTTCTACTGGGGGACTTCAACGCCCACGTGGGCAGCGACAGTGACACCTGGAGGGGCGTGATTGGGAGGAACGGCCCCCCCGATCTGAACCCGAGTGGTGTTTTGTTATTGGACTTCTGTGATAGCCACAGTTTGTCCATAACAAACACCATGAGTCCTTTCGAGCATGGTTGGCCTGTGTAAAGGGAATTATGTCCACACTGGTAGAGTCAAAAACCCCTAGTTTTTCTAGAGTTAATTATCATGAAATAATTTGGTGAACTAGGTTTACATCAAGTACAAGCTAAATGAAGTGCAACAGTTTGCTCTGCTACTCTAAAGCAGAGATGAAGAGCAGGCTGCAGAGGTCACTTTGTACCTCCACCCCTTTAGTGTTTATTTTTCTTTTTTTTTTCCTCTTGAGACTTGTCTTCAAGATGAAGACCTATAAATAGATATTTTAAAAAATGGTGGGACTCAAAAGAAACCAACACTGATTTTTGGTAGGAGACAGGATCTTATGTCAAAATCACTCTGCACTGAGCCAACCCATCTGATCCTGCTCACCCTTAGCAAGCTCTTCTACTTCTCTATTTTCCCTTACACACCGTTCAGTGCTTTGCTGGTGCTGCAGATATCAATGAGCATATAGGTTGAAAGAGATATCAATCTCCCAAAGTGCTTGTGGTCTCAAAGGCAACACTGTGTTGTGCTCTTGCAAAGTCCAGTCAACATCTGTGGACAACTTTGTCTTAAAGCTAGAATCAGGAAAACACAGGCTGTTACTGGGCAAACTCACTGTAAATTATCATAGCGGCTACACAATGAAAAAGGCTCTACTGTTTCTAGATTCTTGATGGGAGTGGGAGTTAAATTAGTTCCTATTTAGAGTACTGTCAGTAGTCTTAGATAGCAGATGTAGTAGAATCATATTTGTTAATATTTTTCATTCACAGGCCCTGAAATATTAGCATAATCTAAGCTTATTCTCAAGCTATTCATTGACAAATGTGTTTGTTTTTTTTTGTTGTTGTTTTTTGGCCTAAATTCTGTAGCTTCTCCAAATAGCAAAGTGTAAACCATTCCTTTCTCCTCAAACCACAGCATGAAAAAAAATTACTAAAAGAGCAGGCACTGTTTCCATTTCTTTTTCTCCCATCTCTTCCTCTTCCATTTCATTATGACATGTTATGGGTCACTGCAGTATTGCTACACTGAGCTGCCAACAAGCATATAATTTTCCATTAAGATCCCACTCAGTGGTTGCAGTGGCATTATTGGCAGAAGGAGCAGAGAGAGAACAATGGATCTAAATGACGGCTCTGTCATAAAGACACTTGTGGAAAGTATCCTATACTGTAGAGCTGTAATAGACTCAAGTCTTTTTGAATAACAGGCAGAGAATGGGGCAGTTGCTCAGTCACGATGCCAGGTTAACTCAGACATTATGGACTGCAGGAGATTTGGTTTTGAACTGAGGAAAAACGCAATGCACTTTCGAGAATGGAAAATAGGCGGATCGGTGCAGCTTCTGCAGTAATGCGGTCGATGTACCGGTCCGTCGTGGTGAAGAAGGAGCTGAGCTGTAAGGTGAAGCTCTCGATTTACTGGTCAATCTATATTCCGACTCTCACTTATA